GAAAATTTTTACGTCTGTTTAATGGTATATGCAATGCAAAATTACGTCGGGTCTTGATAACTGACGTAAATTTACGTCGGGCTAAAGGGTCCAACGTAAATTTACGTCTCCCGTTTTAACGTCAATCTTAAATACGACGTAAAAAGCCCTAAATACATGACGTAAAATCCTCTTTTTGCACTAGTGTGTTCTTATACATTTTGTTGTTTGTTTAAGTCATTTAACATATAAATTTGTTTGTGCCATGAGTTTGTTGTTAAATTGTTGTGTTGTTGTTTGAATGGGTTATAAGTTACGTCATTGATACACATGTGAAGGTTGAAAGCATAATCGATTAAATGAGTTCTCTAATCAGTTATAAAGAAAGACATAATCAATTATCATTGTTTGCATAATCAATTATCATTTGTTGCATAATCTATTATGTTGAACTTCATAACTAATTATGTAACACAACATAATTGATGTGTTAGTTCATAATTGATTATGTGCCCTCTGAACAAGTGTCACTAGTGCAAAAAGGGGTTTTTACGTCAGGTATTTAGGGCTTTTTACGTCGTATTTAAGTCCGACGTTAAAATGGGAGACGTAAATTTACGTCGAACCCTTTAGCCCGACGTAGATTTACGTCAGTTATCAAGACCCGACGTAATTTTGTGTGGCATATACCATTAAACAGACGTAAAAACTTTCGAAAATAAAAAAAAACAGCAAATTTACGTCGCATATGGTATATGCGACGTAAATTTACGTCACATATACCATATGCGACGTAAATTTACGTCGCATATGCCATATGTGACGTAAATTTGCTGTTTTTTTTAAATTGGGTTTATTTATTCTGTTTAACAACTGAAACCTGTAAATATTACAACCAGACAGATCCGAGGTTCAGTTTTCTTTAGCTAGTAAATTAAAAATATAATATTATATAATTCAAACTACATAATAAAACAATATAATACAAACATACAAACTAAAAAATCTATTATAAACTAAAAGTTAATACAAACTAAGCTATGGCTAAAAATCTATTACAAACTAAAAAATCTAATACAAACTAAACATGAATAAAGTTAAATAAACTTAACTAATGTTAAAAGCAATTACCTCCGTCCAAGAATCAATTATACCCGCACAAACTATGGTTCTCATCCAATACATCACATAGTAACCACATTCAAACGAGTTTGTTTGCTTATTACATCTGAAATGATGAAAAAAACATAATGTTATTTTCAAAATTTAAATACAAACAATAATTATGGTATTCACTTATATAAATAAGTTTCTAACCTTAGGATAAATGAACTGCAAAGTCTTTGTTCTAGGTTTTCCACTTAGAACATTAGTTCCGAAACGATTCTAAGTGAAAAAAGTCATATATTATTCAATATGTATTCACAATTTAAAAATATAATTAATGAATAAAAGATAAAGTTACCCTTGTAATAAGCTTTTCATTTCTTGACTCGGTTTCCGATGTAATGAACAAAACCACACCACGGTGTAATCCCGAGGCATGATTATAATTAACTGCCAATGGGACCTACATTGTATGACATAAAAATTAGTTACAAAAATATAAATTAAAATACAAATTAAAATACTAACCCTTCAATGTCCATATTGTATAACTTTTAATAATACCATAAACAAACAAGTGATCACGTATATCCTCAAGTTTATGACGAATTTGATTCAAACAACGAACACATGGACAATAATATGTCTCTTTCATAGCTTTTCCATTTTCACTAGCAAATTTCAAAAATTCATCAACTCCCTTTTCGTACTCTTCACTAATACGACGTGCATTCATCCAACTTCGATTCATATTATGTTATAAAGTTTCGTCACTCCTAGAGATTTAAAAATTATATGTAAAAAGAAATTAATATACAAACAACAAAGCACATTCCAACAACAATGGAGTGTATAAACCGAATGCACTCAAACAAATAAACAAATAATTACATTCCAATAACAATTCAGTGAAGACATTCATACTATAACGTGATTGAGATCCCCAAAAACAATCACAGATTCAATTTAAACATATAGCAATGGCATAGAACACTAACCTCGAGTGTAGACGAAAAATGACTTCAAACTCGAATCCAATCGGGGAGAAATATCAAGTTTGTAAAATGACACACAATGTTGATGTTTTTCACTGTCAAACTGATCGAAAATGGTGTGCAGAGGTAGTTGTTGTCGTCGTTCTCAAAAACCCTGGTTGCGCGAGACGAGGGAGTGGGTTTGGGGGGAAATAAAAGGGACTTTTTACGTCGCGCATTGCAGTACGCGACGTAAAAAGCACTCTTTTACGTCGCACCTGGGTGACGCGATGTAAAAGAAAGCTTTTTACGTCGCGTGCTAGGGGGCGCGACATAAAAAGCTATCACTTTTTACGTCGCGCAACCCAGCACGCGACGTAAAAAGTCTTCTTTTACGTCGCGTGATGGGGTGCGCGACGTAAAAGTTTTGTCTCTTATTTACAAAATTGTCACCGCGTTTTATTTACGTCGAATATTTTTACATGTGACGACAATTAGGTGACGTAGAAACCCTTTTTTGCACTAGTGACAAGGATAAAAAACTTACTCGAGTGGGTGGATGATGGAGATATATGATGCCCCTGCACAACTCCAATTCTTTGTTTGGAATTTGAATCACAAAATCGTTAATGGGTATGAAGGAGGAGGGAACACACAATGAAAAGTGTGACAATGTGTGTATTTATATACGGAATTGCAATGATTTGCGACATGTTTCAATGTGTGAATAGTGGAGGCCAATATTCGTTCAACGCGCATGACCATACACAGTTATCTTTAGCAACTATTTCGAAATTGTATATCTCGGACTTGGCTGAGTTCACTAGAAGCATGCACTGTGTTGGTGTAAAAATGGAATATCATTATGTGCATAACATGGTCATTTGACTCATTTCTTTGCATTTTATTGCAACATTGGAGGATTGATAGGATTCAACTCTCCCACTACTAAAATGTTAGTTATTTTCTATGAATTTTTTTGTAAAAATTTATTTAAATTTGTAGGAAATTTATTTCTTACAATTTTTATAAAAAATTTACAAAAATATCCTCAGAATATTTCTAGTAGTGTCCCATTTTCTTTCCTCTTTAAATGTGTGCAAATAAGTGGATGCAAACACAATTCATACCTCAAATTCGCTCTCCGAATTCTTTTACTACAATACATAAATAAGAAATAAATAAGGTACTCAATATAATTTTATATTTAATAAAAATTTTAATCAAATAAAATATATATTAGATAAAATATATTATGAAGTGTGTTGCTAACCTTTCTCATATTTTAAAAAATTAATAAATAATCATAAAATTTTTGCATAAGTTTATTATATAATTTAATTAATAGTGTCCGTTAAAGTAATATATTCTCCTAGTTTACTATAACTATGGCATTCATTATTCTGGAATGCTTTAATAAAGTTGGTAATTTTTATCTTAAAATAGGGGTGGTAATATACATCAATTATTGACTGTACCAAACATTCTGTCCAGCACGTGAACGCATATAAGGATGTCGTGTCATTCATTGTTTATTTTGAAGGGAAGAAAGTTAAACCTTGAATAATTTTGAAGAATATGTTTAAGAAATTAAATGATTGTGTTTTTTATTTTTTATTTATTAAATATGACTTGTTTTAATTTAATTTAACATTAAAAATATTATTTCTTTTCAAATGCTCTTAAGAGCTTATGATTGTATCTTCTCACGTTGATAATTCAAAAGAGTAGTTGAACCTCGTGCTTTGTGTCAAACATTATCGAGTTTTTTTTTTTTTTAACTTTCCTTTTATGAAAAGCCCTTAATAATTGCCACACATTTTGAAGTCATACCAAATGACTCATGTCATTTGATGATTAAAGGTGGAATTGAATATTGATTGATTTGAAAACTGGAATAATTAAGAAAGTTACGTGAAAATGAGTCAGACTTTTACATTTGGAAATAAAATTTTCATGGGAAAAAAACTATGTTGTAACAAGATACACTTGAAGGTTAACGGAATTATATCAAAGAGACCAGGAAACTGCGTCGAGATTCTCAGCAGCTTCTTTCAGCATGCTTGAAAAGATTCTTTGGTAGTTAGAGGGCATATTTTTTGCTTGTGCCCTTTATTTTTTATTTTTTTTAAATTGTGAATTTAAATAAAACCATTACAATTCTTGTGTTAGTTACACAATCATAGAGGCGGTAAAAAAAAAAAAAAAACTCTTCAAGATAATGTTGGATTGATGAACTAAAAACCTATTCTTTTATAAGAAGATTATAAGATGTGTTGGATTTTTTTTTATGAGAAAATTATAAGATATGTTGGATATTTTGGAGGCTTAATACATAGATATTCTTACTAATAAGAGAGAATCAATTATAAAAAGAAAATAGACCCAAAAACTTACATATTAATTTATGATTTTTATTCACTCATTTTTAGTTTGAAATTATATTTTGATTCCCAACCACATGTTCATATATTAAATGAATGTTCTGTTTTATTTTATTTTAATTCATTCTTTATCATTTCATTTCCATTAACCAACCCAATAGATTAAAAAAAGTGAATCCAGTCATACCCTACGGGTTAGAAATTGTCATGTATACAATTGGGGTACACATGGTAGAAGGAAAAAAAAAAATTGCATAATGGAAAAATAACGATACTATTTCACATAACAACAATATTGGGTGTGAAATGTATTGAGTTCACTGAATAGTGAATCTTGAAAATTAATTCAAAGTTGTGATGGTCAGGATTTTCCAATACACCACTGTGTGTGAACCAAGTGAAATGAAAATATACCGATAAACATGACGTTTGCTTTAGCACAAGTACACGTGTATTTCCACTGGAAACTAGCATTACCAAGTATGAACAAGTGTATTTATACAGCTCAAACTAAACGTTTTGTTTGTACACAAGAGAAAGCTGAAACCAAAGAACAATGCAGTCTTTGAGGTTCATCTCAGCAAGTTTTGTACTGCTATTATCAATTTCATTCACCACTTCAGTTCCAATTGATGAAGCTTTCAACCATTGTCTAACGTTCCATTGTCAAACTCCTAAACAATTTTACTCTTCAATCTACACATCTACCAATGGTTCTTTCACTTCCATCCTTGAGTCCACTGCCCAAAATCTAAGGTACTTGTTGCCCTCAGTGCCAAAACCAGATTTCATATTCACCCCACTTGATGACTCTCAAGTCCAAGCAGCAGTTGTTTGTGCAAAACAGCTTGGTATTCACATGAGAGTGCGAAGTGGGGGACATGACTATGAAGGGCTCTCTTATGTTTCCCTTATTGAGAAGCCATTCATGATCCTGGACTTGGCCAAACTTCGTGCAGTGAATGTTGATATTGCACACAACACGGCTTGGATCCAAGCTGGGGCCACTATTGGTGAAGTTTATTACAGAATTTCGGAGAAAAGTTCAGTCCATGGCTTCCCTGCTGGCCTTTGCACAACCTTGGGAATTGGAGGGCACATCACAGGAGGTGCATATGGTTCCATGATGAGAAAGTATGGTCTTGGTGCTGACAATGTTCTAGATGCTAGAATTGTTGATGCTAATGGGAGGGTTCTTGATAGAGCAGCCATGGGGGAGGACCTATTTTGGGCAATAAGAGGAGGTGGTGGAGGCAGCTTTGGAGTTATTCTGTGGTGGAAGATCAAGCTGGTTCCTGTGCCACAAACTGTGACTGTTTTCACAGTGACCAAGACCTTGGAACAAGGAGGGAACAAGCTTCTTCATACATGGCAGAAAGTGGCTCCAAAGATTGATGATGATCTCTTCATCAGAGTGATCATTCAACCAGGGAATGGCAGTGTTCCTGGCAAGAGAACAGTAACCACCTCTTACAATGCTCTTTTTCTTGGTGGTGCTGATAGGCTTCTCCAAGTGATGAAGCATGGTTTTCCTGAGTTGGGTTTGACAAGCAAAGATTGTGTGGAAACTAGCTGGATCAAATCTGTGCTTTACATTGCTGGCTACCCTGATGGAACAGCCCCAGAAGTTTTGCTCCAAGGGAAGTCCACATCAAAGGCTTACTTCAAAGCCAAGTCAGACTTTGTGAGGGAAGTAATCCCAGAGAAGTCCCTGAATGCCCTGTGGAAAATTTTTCTGCAGGATGATGGTCCCCTAATGATTTGGAACCCCTATGGAGGCATGATGAGCAGGATTACAGAATCTGCCACCCCTTTCCCTCACAGAAAGGGAGTTCTCTACAAAATTCAGTATGTAACTGGATGGCTTGATGGAGAAAAGAGTATGGCAAAGCACATGAACTGGGTAAGGAAATTTTATTCCTACACAGCGCCCTATGTTTCCAAGTATCCAAGAGAAACATATGTGAATTATAGAGATTTGGATATAGGGATGAACCAGAAAAATAACACAAGCCTTTCTAAGGCTTGGTCATGGGGTTATAGGTATTTCAAGGGTAACTTCAAAAGGTTAATAAAAGTGAAATCTAAAGTTGATCCATCTGATTTCTTTAGGCATGAACAGAGTATCCCTCCTTTGCTAACTGCTAAGAGAGGGTAGAAGGAAGTAACATAGGAAGCTAGATCAAAGGGGTGTGGCACTGTATTGTGGCTAGAATGCTAGATCAATATGAGAACTATGGTTAAATCTGTTTACAAGTTGGGATTATTTGCTTAAGAATAAACATTTCCATACAATCTTCTAGGATAATATGGAGCATTCACAATTATGTTTGTTTGCGATTAGTTTCTTTTCTTGTGTACTAGTGGTAGTGTGTTGGGATAGTAGGGAGATTCTTGAGTTTGGTATTGAATTGCCTTCTCTGATATCCTTTTGAATATATTGTTCACATTTCAGCACTAAAGACTTTTCCTAGTTATTCCAAATATGTCAACATAAATGACTAGCTAGTGAGACTTGAACAAATACTTGTTTGACTTAGAATAAGGGGGAGTAGTTATTGGACAACTTTTAATAGTATATATATTACTCTGCATTAGAATTGAGGAGCTATTAGTCAGTGCTAGCTGTCTTTATTTTTTTGGATAAACATTAATTAATAGCGTACATGTAAAATATTTAAAACAATTCTACTATATTAACCACATTTTTAATTTGTAAATATATTAAAAGGGAAAATGACAGTAATTAAGCAGTGGTTTATATAAGACGTAGACCACAAGAACAAATATCAAATCAATATATAGTATATTGTTTAATCAAATTTGTATAGCAAAAGAGGGTAACTTCTATATTATTGATGGAAAAAAAAGTGAAAATGTTTTTTTTTTCATCTTACAGGTTGTAACCTACGAAGAGAATAATTTATATATTCAATTATAATTTCAAAAGATTTTAAAAATTCTTTTCTTTATGACAAAGATTTATGAAATTCAATAGAAAAATTTAAAAATTAAAAGTTTTATTATATTCAATTAAGACTAATATGACGATTTTCAATTCAGATTTTAAAAGATTAGGGAAGAATTATCTAATATTCAAAATATACAAATTTAAATAAATATTTGTTGATTGTTTTTTATTAATTTTATGCAACATTTTACTGATATGTATAAATATTATTTTTTTAAATAATTTCACTCAGATATCTGAGACTTTTTTTAATATCTCTGATATTTTTCTTAATATCAAAAGGTATTGTGTTAGACTTCTCTCTTCTAATGTCAAACTTTTTTACCCCAGCGTATATTTGTACTTATGTACGTTTTTAAATTTCAGTATAACCGAATCACCAGTAAATTAATTTATTATAATTCATGAATCATAAGGAATTTAAGATATAATTATTGCTATTTATTCTAAATAATTATTTTATTCGGTTCACTTAATTCAATTAAAACATCGTTCTATTATTTTTATATAACCGAATTTTAATTAAATTATATAAAACTAAAAAAAATTAGTACAAAATATAAAATAATTGAACTTTTGGATAAAACGATTTTAATAAAAAACTAAAAATGTAAAGATAACATTTTTTTTAAAATACAATATTTTATAAAAAACATAATTTTTTTTTCTCTTTATCTCATATTAATCACGTAAATTTTAAATAATTATTATTTTATTATATTTTCATCTTACATTAATTATTATCCACCTTAAAGATTAATACATATTTTTATTATAATTTACGGTAACAAAAATAACAACAACCTTTATTATTTCTTTCTTTTGTAAATAAATTATTTTTATTAATAAATTTATCATATACCTACTATATTATAAAAAATAATATTATTTTTGTTAAATTTTGTTTGACTCTAATAGAACTACATATGAATTTTTAAATCTTGACTTCTGTCTTCATCGATTCAAAAATGGATCTAATTTTAAAAATTTCATTATATATTAAAATTATATTTAAATTTTAAAATAATAGATATTTAAATTAAACTATAATTATATAAGTAACTTGTTAAATATCAAATGAGTTTGGCATGATAGAGATCAAATGAATTGATTATAAAATAAGTCACATGAGTTAGGCAATAAACATCTTAGATGATTTAGTCATGGGTAGGCCAAATCAAATTATTTGATTAAGATTAACTAATCAATAAACTAACTAGACAAGTTGACAAGATGAGTTAGTCATCAATTCATATTATATAATCACTTGCATCTACTAAGGATTCCCAACTAGTGTTTCATCTTTAGTTGATTCATCCATGAGTTGCATTATTAAGGGTTATCAAATAATGTCATGTCATAAGTTGATCCACCCATTAACATCTTTTAAGGGTTAACAATGTCACATTATTAACTAATTCATCCATCAATTTCATCTACTACGGATCATGAGTTGACTCTCCCATCAATTACATTATCTAAGAGACATCAATTTGTACCAAGTCCTTGATCCACCCATCACTTGCACTCTTCTAAGAGACATCAACTAATGTCATGTCATCACCTGATCTACTTATAAGTTACATGTGAATGTGTCATCAACTAACCTCCCACTAGTTAATGTCATGAATCATCATTAGATTAAATATTCTCACTTGGTGGTTTGTTTTCTAAATTATTTCACCTAATTTTAATGATGGAAAAATAGGTCAATTTGTTCCATTTTGACCCACTCCGCTTTTAACCCACTAAAAATGAAGTAGAGCGAGATGATCTCTCATAGGCAAGACGGGTTACAAATTCTCAACCCATCCCACCAAAGGACGAGTTGACGTATTAGTCCGCCAATATGTTTTTTTTATATAAAATTTTGTATATTAGTTTTTTAAAAATATACCTTTAATTATATGAATACTTTTTTTAATTTTTATTTGTTCATTAATATTTGTAATAGATAAATTGAAAAAATTATTATATTTATAAGTTAAAATACTCAATTATAATCAATAACTTTAATTGATTAGTATTTATAATTTAAATCATAATATTATAGTATATTTGCATATTTTAACAACATAACATAAAAAAAATATAATATCTTTTAATTATATTTTTTAAATTTTAATATATAATTTTTTGTAAAAGCGGATCAACCCGTCTTGTCCCATCCTTAGCCCGTCGAGTTAGTGATCAAGGTAGAACGAAACAAAATGAACTGACAGGTTAAACCTACCAATCTGTGTCACCAATTTTGAAACAAGTTAACGAGTCGACCCGTTAGGCTAGCCCACTTTGTCATCTTTACGTAAGTCAATTCTTTCTTCTTATATTTCTTAATTATTTTCCCATGATCTAACAATAGACTAATTTAAAATCTTATCCCTTATTATTTAAATCTTTCATTTCAAATCATTACATAAGTTTATAATTTACAACAAAAAAAGATTAAAATTAGAATGGAATCAACCTCCTTTACTCAACTAGGAGTGTAGACAGGTTAGATTGAGTTGGATTTAGAATGAATTGGATTTGGGTTTGATTAATTGAGTCAAAAATTTAATTTTGTTTATTAAGATATGAAATTTTAAAACATTTTGTAATTTTTAACCATAGATAATATAATTGTTGTAACTAAAAATAAACATATAGTTATAATTACATATAAGTATAATACTATGTTTATAAAATTAATTTAATAAGTCTTGAAGCTAATAATAAAATTAAGTTATAAACTATTTGTCCAAATTAATTCAAAGCATAAAAAGAAACATAACATAATTTGTCCAAACTTACAAGAACATGAACATATCAACTTAATAACAAATATATTCTAAAGGTTAAATTAATAAAAGTCATATCATCTCCATGCATTATGATTGTTGAAAGTGCCAAACATTAAAAAAATATATTATAATAAATTATTCTTAAGGTCAAATTATGAATGGAATAGGTTAAATTTAAAGACAAAATAATTGTATCTTAAATAAGAAAGAGTAGCAGTATTTAATGTCAAACCATGCAACTTTAACAATTTAAATCTTTATAGAACAAAATATTAAATTTTAAAAAGAAAATTAAATTCAATAGTAATTTTTATACCTGATTCAATATATTTTGTTTCATGTAATTAGGCTTGCAAATCATTAACATATTATTTATCACCTTTAAGCTAATTTTGGGCTCAAACCAAAGTTTCAACTACTATAAAACTTCAAAGAACTACAAAAGTGATCAATGACACAATCTCTTGTATTAAATGCAAATTCAGATGAAATAATAGATACATGAATGACTAATATATCTTTAGCCAAGAAAGAAAGAACATGATATTTGGTTGCTCTCATCCTCCACCATGCCAAAAGGTCAAATTAAGGATGGTATCATCTTTAATATCATCCTCCAAATATCTATTTAACTCGTTCTTTTACTCATTACCTTGTTTTTTCTTTATTTTCATTCTAAATTGTTCAACCCAATCCTCATCATAATTGTTTGTTGCTGGGTTAGAGATAATGTTTGAAGTTGCAGTGCTACTTTAAGTAGAAATAGGATGTTTAATTGCATAATCAATAAACATTTGATGAGATCATCTAACTTTTTCATTATTTCTTTACCTTTTTCAATACCATACATTTTCTTAAAATAAATATACTCAAATTTAGAACGTGGATCAAGAAATACAACCACAAGCAAAAGATAGTTAATCTCACCACTCTCTCAATACTTATTAAACTTCATTTGCATACTAGTTATAATCATTTGTATCATTATATCCTCCTGATATCTCTACTTATTCAAGGATTTCTTAATACTAACAAATATCTTAAATAAGATATTAGTAGTAACATGCAATGAACCAACAAAAGAGAGTATTACTTCATAAAAAAAAAATCTTAAAAAGCTGACAAAGACACTCTTCCAATCATCTAGTTTATAGGACATCATATTTCACTAGTAACTAGATTAAATTAAGCTTATATGTAGCTTGCTCTAACATTAAATAAGTTAAATTTTATCTAGTTGTCATATCAAAACACCACAAATCTTAGAATTTACACTAACTTTCTTTGCACACGTCTTAAAAGTAGTCAACCTATTTGGAGAAGACCTTACAAACTAAGCAACCCTTATTTTATTAATTAAGGAGTTAATTTTCTTTAATCCATCAATCACAATCAAATTCAAAA